CTTGCACCGAATATAGTTTTCTAATGTTAAAATATATTGAAAATGGTACATACATAGTTTTCAATTTTCTTCAGATTCCCAATGTCGGCTCGAGATAATTTTTTTAAAGTTTCTTCTTGAACTTCTCTCCAGGATCGCTGCAAATGTCTCCACAGATCTTTTTGTAACGTTGGGTAGTGTTTCCAAATACTTCTAGTGTTGATCTTCAATATAAATATTTCAGTTTTTCTTTTATTATTTATAATAAAATACCAGGCATATCGATAAAAATACATTCCTTAAATGTAATTGTTATCAATAGAAGAGTTCATATCGAAACAAGTAACTAAATCTTTCGTTCAATCTTGATTTATTGTAAAACGGTAAGGTGGTGACCCATGCCTTATGGTTGGGAGTGTACATATGGCCAGACTACATAAATCATGCAAGCGAATTACGTGAGTTCAGTTGGCAAATTTTATCACACCCACCATATTCTTCGGACGTTGCCTTATCAGATTACATTCTGTTTTGTGCATTACATCCTTTCGTGTATAATAAATTTGACAATTATACAGTATGTCCGTATTAAGTGTCTATATGTAATTATTTCTGTAAGTATCAGAAATACGAAGAAATGTTTCAGATGAAAGTTATATGGTATCAATGCCTTTAGAATTTCGACTTTTCCGCGTCCTCAATAACCGAAGACGTGTCATAAACTAGGTATTCCTGAAGGGTCAATCCACACGTGCGTATAACGGCACTCTCGGCCGAGGGTTGACCTGGCGGTAATTTCCGACGTGTCACCGAAGGACAGCGAAGATTCCACGCACCCGCAGGTAGAGCCCCACTCCTTCCAAGGAAAAACGCGCTAAGGGCGCAATGGAAGGGTGGGTGACACTCAAGGGGCATGTTGATTGGTAATTTGTGCGTACGTGAAAATCCAATCAGCGTGCTCTTTTTGCACTTGGCGGGGGAGTCTCCGCGGACTCCAGAAAAATTCGGGAATCGAGCGAGAGGTTCAGAAAAGGTTCCATCGAGCGAACACCACTAGATCTCGAACCGTTCGAGGAGACACAACACATTCGAAAGATTCCCTCGTGTGAACAAGATACTCTCTCCAGCCATTCGAGTACAATTTGAGTCTTTGAAACAAAGTCGTCAATCGTTCGTGACGCACTCTACGTTTTGCTAACGTTCGAGCAAAATAGATTTTGAACTAGTTACCCAAGATTAATTTGGCGGGTAACAGTCGCTACCGCGAGCTTCCTGTTGAACATCGCAAAAGAACGCGACGCGACAATACTTGAACCATAATTACGAGATACATGAATTAATACTTCTTCTCACTTGAATCAAAGTAACTCTTGAATCACTTAGTAAAAAGTTCAAATAGAATTCTTCCATTTCCAATTAGAAGATTCTTTACATAGTAATAAATGTTTAATTTCTATCTATTTTTCTATTCTTTCACTATATCCGAAACTAAGACAAAATTATTAAACAGATATTATTTTGGTCAATGATAGAAGTCCGTAATTTAAATCCATGTTTTGATAGTCGAAAGAATTGCAGAATAAAATCATTCAGAATAATTTTATTAAATTACTAACGTCTATCATAGAGAAATAAAGATAGAAATAAATAAAATAGAATTTTATTAAATAGTTACCTCAGGCTCAATTTACTTAGAATTAAGTTACTCAAGTAGGTTGTGTAAATACTCCATTAAAATCTTCTAACAGACTTCACTGCTTATCACATGCACAAAATCCACTCTAAACGACATTAGTAATTTTCCAAGTACATTAACATTGAAAAACAACGTTATAATTACCGTCACGAACCCTCGTTTGCGTTCATAACCACAAAGAGCGAATGAATGTTCAATAAATAACAACACTGACAACCTTCCAGACGCATCAATATTAATACGTAGCGTTACGATTAGCAGCACGAGTTCCCGATCACGTGAAAACTCCAACTAGATCGATTTGTAATGCACCAGCGACCGGATCTTGCAACACGTCGCATAGTATAAATCAGAAATAAAAAAAAGTCGTGAAAAAATGAAAAGTGTAAACACTGCGGTAACATTGTAAAACTGTATAAAACTGCAAAAGAGACAACATTAATTCAAGTATATTAAAATACAATCTTACGTATCTATGATCTGTCATAATTTTTTTTTATACTTAAAAACGTTTTCGGTTGGTTTAAGTTCAAAAATTGACACGTTAAATTTTCCTCATTTCTTTTTTTTATTTCTGCTCCATTGTGTTCTCTCTAAAAGGCTGATTTAGCCCTTGACACCTTTTTACTGGAAAAAATATTTATGAAAATTGCTGTTTTATATGCAGAAGTTGGCATATTAAATTTTTTCCTATTTTCTCCATTTTTTCCCAACGATGTTTTGACGTGGCGAAATAAACAAAGAAAAAAAGAAAAAGAAAAGACGGCGTTCGAGAGATTCTTTAATAGTCGTGTCGTGTGGTGTCAAGTGAATCGAGAAGAAGTTAACGTTTCACACCGCAATTCCAACGCGACGTTAATCCCATCGAGCACGAGAGAACAGATTTATGCGGCGGATAAACGAGTTAGCGACTTGACGCGGGAAACTTTCGGCGCGAAACTGCTCGCAAATCGAGTCTTCCGTTCGCACGTGACTTATTTACTGGTTTAACATTTTATTTAACTTGTGGTGTTAATGGAACCGTGACTCGTTTTGCTGTCAGATTACAATCATTTTTCGGAAGAAAGGATCTTTTTTGTAATACGAATAATTATGTTAATATTGGGACAATAAATTTGTATATAGATAATAATTCGATTTCTTCGTTATCCACGAATAGCAACTAATTTATTTATTCGTCATTCTTGAATTTATTCGTTATTCGAAATAATTTTTACCCAACACTGCGCTCAGGTAACTTAAATTAATCCGCATGACATAATATCGGGTGTTGCCCGCTGTTCACCTGCTATAAAACTTTGGGACAGAGGTTGCTTAAAAAGTTCACTCTTTAACACTTTTTAATATCTAGCTCAATTAAACGGGGAGTCCAATTTTACAGCCCAAGAAACAAGCAATATTTAATAATTTTTTTGGCTAAATTAGTGAAGATATGGTAATACTTCTTTATTTGATAAAAAAGAACATCCTTGGAATATAACACAAAAATTTTCTTGAATTGAATTTTTAATACTGTTATTGTAAATTTGTTGTCATATGTTAACACCTCTCAAAATGATTTGAAAGGAATAAATTTCAAATATTATTGTTCTTTGATAATTTATGCTAGGATTGAACCGACTTGTAATAATGAAAAAACGAAAATTTGACAATTTTGAAGGAAAGATCAATATTTCCATTAAATAAATCGGTTTCACATCGTTCATAAAAATACTATAATTAAAGATAAAAAGAATATTGATTGTCAGATTAATCCCTGGAGAACTGTATATCGAATTGAATGGACTTTATTCTCAGTTGGTCGATCGATTACATTTTGAGTTATTCTGCGCGCCACACAGTGTTTCGACCAATGGACAAAAATCAGAAATCCAAAGTGTAATATCTACAAATTTTTTCATTTTAAGATGTTAATAACAAACAGTAGTTTGTAATATTACCTATAATTTTGACTGAATACTTTTTTGCTTCATTAAAATCAGCTAATTTGCTTCATTAAAATCAGTGTATTTTTCAAATATGTGCCATTGACAGACCATTTGTGTTCTTGATTTGATTTTTATAGGTTGTGTTTAGTACCTGAATACATTTAAAGCTGACACAGAATTTTACTACAATAGTAATAAATTTTCCTAATTCTTTACGTAAAATTTTTATCAACTTTAACGAGACTTTTAAACAAAGTACCGAATAGTACTTCCGTAATTTTTGGTATATTAATTTTAAACATATAATCTTTATATTAATATCAAATTTAAGTGCACAAACACAAAATGAAGAAAATTGCCAAAATGGTTATCGACACGTTCAGTATTCTAGCGTCCTATTCTTAGTACCTACCCCCTTAATTCACAGGCGAAATTAATTCGTCATGTACTTCGAGAACTAGCTCAAAATGAAGAAAATTGTTACATTGTTATACCTAATGAAAATTACGAAAAAAAATAAAAGAGAAATTTTGAATGTATACAAAGTTATATTTGTCTCTCAAACCCCTGTATGCGGAACGGTCGCTACGATTTTTCCGGTATTTCCGCGAAACTGATGAACAAATTTTTCACACAAAAGTTAATCAGTATTCAGTTGACAATAAATTGTGTTAATGAAAATTTACAAGAAAGTTTTTATTCGTTAAAAAGTAAAGATCACTACAATTTTTTTAAATGAAACCATATATTTTTTTATGTGCCAGACAATGTACATTTGAATTCTCTTCAAAAAAGTATTAGAGAACTTAGGTCGAAAACTGATTAATTTAGAAGTTATGATTTTTGTCCCGAACGCCCATATACTCGAAACACTGTGCGCCAGCTTGAAAAACACGGTTTCAAGTAGAACGCGTTTAAAGTTGGAACCCTAACGCATCTCTGTATGTGTACTTGTAACTTCGTTATTCTTATAAATTCGTTCTTAATATCGCAGGACCATATCTTTAACATGTTCTACTTTCAATTCACTAAAAAAAGGCAATGTCTTCGTACCTTCAAGCTGAACTCCCCCTTCTTGAAATTAATCTTACTGAAACACCGATTAATTTTCACCTCAGTCCCTGCTGTTACTCGCGAAATGCCACTCGAGTATCGAAAATCGCGAAGAAAGGCGGATGAAACGCCGCAGAAAGGTGATTCGACGGTTGTGTAGAAACCGTTCTCCAGCAGTCAACTTCTATGGCGCGCGCCACGGGGCTTGACCAATGACCGACAAGTGGCACGAGGTAATCGACATGTCTAATACGATAAGGCAATCCCTGGCCGGGGATCGTGGCTTTACATATCATCCCCGTCTTTCGATCAGCTAGTCGCCAAGAACCTACTGACCAACCGCAATGTTCGCTCTTCTTACTCGCCTTTGGTACGAGAACTTTAAACTTCTGTTACCTTGTCCTTCAGTTTCGAGAAGAAATTCGTTCAGTTTTTTGTACCGGATTGGAACCGTTTGTTTAAGTGGCAGTTCGTTGACTTGCGTGGTAGTTTGGTTTGGGGTGAATTTTTCCAGTGCAAATAATCGAAGAGCACAGGTGGAAAGGGACGAGTGTCCGCTTAATGTTATTTCGAGTACAACGAACTTTAAACCTTGAATACTGATTCTTCGGATACTGTTGAATTAATTCATATTTTAAAGATATACTGACACAGTTTAGGAATAATAAATAATAAATAAGGAAGGAGAATAAATAAGGAATTTAATTTATTAATTTAAAAATTGTTAACGGAGTGGGAGTTTTTATTTTCTATTCATTTTTTAAGGAAAATTTAAATTTAATAATTCTGAAGGGTACGAACATCGAAGGTTTTTATTGAATTTTAAGTAAGTAAAGCATGTGTAATCGAAAGCAAAAAAGTGCAGATAATATACATAAATAATAAATGGGTGTATTTTAATAAAAAAAAAATTAACGTGCAACGCAAAATGCGTAAAAATGCAGGCACATTTTCAATAAGGTATGTAGATGCTTACAGATTCTAAACACAAAAATTTGTCACTTCAGCTGATTGAAATGGGTTGTCTAAATAACTTTGGTAGACTTCTCATCACTGCACAAACGTGATGAGAAACACAAAGACACTGTGCAACATACACTGTAATACTTTTTCCATACAAACTTCATTTGTACAATTATTATTTGTGAACATTTACTTATTTTTCCTCTTTCAACACAAAAATGAATTCTAGAATAAAAAGTACTACGGTTAGAAATATTCAAATATGACAATAGGCAAAAAATAGACATTCATCTTTTTTCGCTTGTACTCTTCAATTCTTCAAATTTTATGAATGAATTGTGTGAGCTCGTCGAAATTTCGAGATATTTGTGGAGTGTGGTGATTTGTAGGGGTTGAAGATTGATTTGCATTGTGAAGAAGAGTGATTCGTGTAAACTCAGTCAAAAAAGTAATTCAACAAATTAATTCAAATTTATTTTGCTTTGTATAATTTTAACAGAGAATGCAGCAAATAAATAATATTTACATTATTTTATTTAGAAACACAACGTTCACTATTAGTACAAAGAAAAATAATTTACGTTAATTTGTTAATAATTAAACAAATAAATATGAATATAAATATATATTTTCCATTATGGGAAGAATATTTTGACGTCTTTTCTACTCGCTTGTAAACTGGTATTTGCCTTTGGATTCTTGTCTGTAAACATTTTTCTGAATTCTTAGATACTGTAAGGAAATCGTTTTCTCTCATTTCTCTCAATCCTTTTCCCTTACTTTAATTGTTAGAAAACGAGTGTCAGTCAGTTTATATTCAAATATTATTTATTTTCTACCTTCTCTGTCGAAATTAGACAACGCTAAATAAATTCTAATCAGGTGTGCGGACACCTTTTGACTGACAACGAGTGTATTAAGAATGTGTGTAGTAAATCTCCTTAGGTTTTACTTTTGCTTTTACTTTTGGGAGGGGATTTTCGATCTAAAGTTACAAGTTTAAAGTAACACGTGAGTAAAGGAAAAGTTTATTTTTTGAATAGATTTCTGGAAGATTGAAAGTGAGAGACAAAGATGGTTCAACCGTGCTAAGGGATGTTCACCTTTTTCGTCTTTTGAGTTTGTAAAAGTTCGGAGATTTCAATTGTTTATAGTAAGATAAATGTTGTCGAAAAGTGAGTAGACAGGAATATTGTAACACACGGAAGACGTAAAGTTTCATAAACCGCGAGTAGAATGTATTGCGGTTTGGAAACACTATAGTGATGCAATGGTACTCTCGGTTCAATTCTGGTCATGGCTGTTTTCTGTTTTCATTGAGAATCGATTACTTAATGGTATTTTGCATTCTGACGAATTAACACGTTTCTTCTACAATTTTGCACTATTCAATTGGAATTGGAATAACCGACTACTTCTTTTACTATTATAGCTCATTCCTACATATTAGAACTGGTAAGTCAATTACAGTAATCACCGATGATTGAAAACAATAGTATTGCAGTATCTCATCCTTGGCATTATTCGTTTGCAGTTTTACAAACATGCACTTATCCAGCAAAGCGTGCACTTATGTACGATTATGGTACAACGACTCGTCAAATAAATTTCTCTATTAGAAGCCGTATAAACCAAGAGAAATCTTCGTCGATAATAATTAAACAATCTGTGATTTCTACTTACCTCGCAAAAGTATAAACTTCCATGTAATAATACATATCTGTAATTTCCTCTGCTTAAAATATAATTCCCTTTTTTCACCTAAATTTCAATTCTTTTCGGAACATCTACCAAAGAATAATAATCGTAAATGATAAAGGAAAGGTACAATTAAGTCGTTTATTTTGAAAGTGGGGCAAGTGTAGTTTTGAAAAAGATGAAGTTAATGGTAAAACTTTTATCTGTAAACAATTTATTGTCAGAACAGAAAATTGACTTGCTCCACTTTCGAAACAAGCGGCTCAATTGCAATTTGTGAAACATTTATAAAAATCGATAAAAATCAGAGATTAATACTTCTTCCTTCTTCTTTTAAGCCTGACGGCGACTCTGTTCACCGCGGTTCTCGCTGTCTTACGTAAGTATGCTTAAAAGACCGATTATCAACACCTTCGTTAAATTTTAGTACCCTTTTTTTCCAATAATTGCTGTCATTACATGCGTCGTAAAAATGTTCCAATCGCCTGATTTCATTGAAATGAAATAAAAAAGAAAACGCACGGGAAAAGGATTCTTGCACGTTTGGTTTCGTGTTCATCGGATCGTTGCATCGATAGTTTTCGCGAATTCCAGCGAGGTCTCGACATCTCTAAGAGGCGCTGACATTAAGGATCGATTACGAAATTTCGGTTCACTCGACGATGCTCGACGGAAAATAGAAGCGTGTCGCGTTGCAACATCCGCCGTGCTCGTTTCGGCTTTTTAAGATACGACTGCAACTCGCAGCCTTGAACTCGTTCAAAATGATATCAAGATCACAGATCTGGTGCACCTCGCCGACATTTTCTCGCCGAATCGCGTGTAAGCTTTATCAAATCGTCATTTTTAAACCAGTTTTAAAGATTCGTGCCAGAGATACTTGTCCCTCGATGGTTCGTACTGGGTCAACAGATTTTTTTCTCTGTGAAAGAAAGAGGCGCGGAATTAATGCGCATGTGACAATGGATTTTACTTGAGAATTATTAGGTCGGTGCATAAGTAATTTCGTCTTTCATCATTGAGTACATTTATTAAAACCTTGCCTTACGATTTTTTAATCGGTACATATTTCGTACCGTGTTAAATAAACAGAAGTCGAAATATTATTAGGTCGTTCCGAGTAACATATTACGCCTGTCCACAAATTGACCTATTTCACGTTATAATTCATTTAATATTACCCATTAACCTTACATTCTTAAAACTACATTAAACAAAGATACCAAATTCCAACAAACCTATTCTACATACCTTTGTGCATTCAGGAGCTACATACTTCACTCTCCTATGCTAGTTTAACCAGTGAGACGTATGTATCATATCTGAGCACTGAAACAAAAGTTGATTTCAAGTTAGCATCCATTACAGAAAATATTAGGTCGTTCGAAAAGTTCTGCCTGATTTCGTCGTCGGAATTCAAATAATTATATTATTATATTCAAAATAAGAACCATTGCAATCAATACACCTTTGCTAATGTTTCGCTAATTTGTTCATGCCATCTACAAAGAAACTACGAGATCTGGAATCAACAAAGTCCACGAAGGCCTGTTCCACATCCTTTTCATTTCGAAATGCTTTCTTCTTGATAAAATGGTCGAAATGTTTGAACAGATGATAATCTGTTGGCGAAAAGTGCGGAAAATATTCCAGGTCGTTTAACTTTTGCACTGTAATTAACGATAAGTGCGGTCGGGCGTTATCATGCTAAAGAATCGGACCCCTTTTGTTGATTAGTATTGAACTGATAACTGACAGTTTTCGATGCGTTTCGCTAAGTTCATTGTAGTACTTATGTGCAGTAATCGTTTCCTCCGTTTTCAAAAGACATGGTGAATAATTCCGTCAATAGACCACCAAACAGGTAGCATTATCTCTTTCGGATGTGCTTTAGGGTTTGGAAAGCATCTAAGTGGATCGTTAAGATCCAACCAGTGCCCAGA